TTATATCAAGGACCGAAGGAGTATAATGTTAGGCTAATTGACGACTGAATTCGTAAGTTGTAGTTATGGTCAAATGTTTCCTCCGAATCCTCCGCTCTCTACCTCAGTTCATCCCATTTTCGATCTTTGAAGCCCCCAGCTCCAACACCAAAAAAAAAAAAAGGAATCAATTAGAGATTTGACTTTGACTCAGAAATTTGAAATTTCAGTGCCGTCGTAAGGTTTGGGGTGGTACGACTCTTGTGCTGGGAACTCGGAATCATCGCTTATTCGTATTGGGAGGGAGCAGCCGTTGACCTTTCAAATTTATTTACCCTCAAAATCAACCTCATTCTTAAACATGAACCCAAAGCTATTATTATTATTATTGATTAACGAAACCCCGTTATTTGGATTGTTCTTACATGCTTTCCTCCGATTTTTGCTTCACAAACCTACTGAGAGAATAGCATTCGGTAATTTTTACATCAAAACGCCTGCTATGTCGCACAGAAATATTACTATTCCCAAACATACTGCTGTGAAAATCAGCTGTAATACACTTCATGCTCCCTTCCCTTTGCTTGTAAATACGATACTTAGTTAATTTATCCATGTTTTAAAAAAAAAAAAAACACTTAAGTTGATTATTTATCCGGGTCCTATATTTAAGATAAGAGGGAGTAATGAGTTTCAATTCTTTTACTTATAAAATTAATTTTAAAAAAATAGGCAATGCTATCCTAAACGAAGACATAGAAAACATTAGTAAATGAAATATCCCATTAAAAAAACATAAAAATAGTGTGGTTGGAGCTCCCAGAGAAGCGTGCTTGCTGGTTTTAAATTTTTTACTGCGACGATGATGATGAGGATAATAAAGCAGGGCACATGCATGATAATGTGTTTTCAAGGGGCGACCAAACTTGCATGACTTGTCATCAAACACAGCCCTCCCCATTAAATTAGGTCACTTCACCACATCCCTCAGGCAAGGCCTCACGTCCCGTCCTTTTTCTTCTTTCAAAATATTACCATACCCTCCACATCAATAATAATCATTACATATCAATTAAGTTGCGTGTTAAGATCTTTTAATTACTCTAAGGATTACATAAGAAAGAACCAGCCAATAAACTGAAAATGGGTGATACATGAGGATATGTTCTAGGAGAATCGTGGGCTGCATGATACCAAATTTGACCGACACTTTTGTTTTAATCGATGAGGACCGCCAAAGCCAAATCATGAAAAAGTTAAGAGACGGGGCATTTTGACTTTAAGTGGAAACAGACCTTCATGGAGGATCCTTTCTACCGGGTCCATCCTCCTCTTAATTTCCTGATTTCCGGCCGAGTCCCACCTGCAACCTCACAGACACACGCACGCACACCCACCTTATTATTAGAATTCCTTGTACTCTCTCTCTTCAAAATTATCCTAATCCTTTTCTGGTTTTTGTTTTTCTCAGAGATTCTTTTAGATATTTTTTCTTCTCGCGGATATGGTAGGCCCATCCGGCCCAAAAAGCATAGTCTAGGCCCAGAAATGCTCATTGGTCACGGAAGTCTCCTCCAAGTCCAAAATAAATTCCACGGAAGAAATTGGAGATGCGCGTGAACCGTGAGTTAGCAACGCGAGCCAAGCCAAAGGGCTGGCTTATGCGGGCAAATAATATGCGGCACTTGTTAGTACTATAAAAACCTCATTTGTAAATTATAAATGAACGGGAGGCAGTATTTCACAAGTTTAAAAAAAGTTCAGAGATTCCAATAACCAATGTCTCAAAGGCGTATTTCAAAAGCATTCCTTTTGCCCATTAAAAAAAAGGGAGGAAATGCGTTCTGATATTTGTAAATTCGCGTGCTCCCAATTTTTTCGTAGGAGAATTGATTCTTCAACGCAACAACGATTGCCCCGAACATAAAGTTTGTACAAATTATACGGTTCTCTTCAGCAAGTCAAAAAGGAGATTAATAAAAAAGATTCGGATCAAGACAATTAACTTCAAAGCATCTATTACACTTTTTTCTATCACACTCTCAAAAGCACTTGTTCATACGCAAATTCTTTGTGAATTTGCAATTTTGCATATCCTTGTAACACCAGTACCTTTATCTTGTTCTAAAATCTACTGTAGCTTGTCCTATCTTACTCTAAGGTTCTAACGATGAGAATATGTACGTAATCGCCCGCTCAAAAACACTCGCGCTTCAACTTAGGAGAGGCTTCTCTGCATCAAACTCGGTTTCCAAGCCATCTCCGTAATCGAACCCTTCTTTCCCTTTAGCCCAGAGCACAAAGTATAGCCCCGTAAACATCAGGAACATACCCACCAGGCTGCAATTCAGTGTTACCATAAACACACCACGATTGGCAATAGGGTTTTTCATCATCAAGTGACGAAGAAACTGGTAAAACATACCTTCCGATATTGATAGTATCTCCAAGTGTTACGGCAGAGAAAATGATGGAGCAAACTGTAGAAATGGGACTGAACATGGACACCAAAACTGGTCCTTTCTTCTTCACTGCCCATCCGTGGAAGCTGAAGCATAATCCAAGCACCGCACCTGCCTGAGCTTTTCACAAATTTTTACAAATTAATCACCCATAATGCAAAATGAAAGCTTTCATCTACAAAATGTCCAATTCAAACTAAGAATGTCGTCAGGTCAATTGCTATCTTGTGAATTTATAGATACTAGGAAGAGAAGAGCAGAATATACCAGAAAAGTAAAGCCAATGAGTTTTGGAACACTGAGATTTTGCCCACCAGTTTTCAATCTGTGATCTTGAAGCAACTCAGCTATTGCAGTCATGAAAGCTCCGAGTAAGGATATGGTTGCGCTGAGGGATATGGGTGCAGGAAAGTCTCGTAAAATAAAAGCCTGCCAATAAATACATCAGTAGTTTTATATAACGCAAGTTGTTTTCGTAGTGTTGTTATATGATTCTTTTAATTTCATTCCAAGTTACCTGCAAGACGTAGGCGCTGGATAATATGACGACAGAAGCCACGAGATAAAGACAACCTTTGATCTTTTTCATATCAAAAATAGCATCTGGTGGGAACGTTGGCAATTTCATCCCAGTTTCTATCTTGGGCGCAGGTGGAGATATGCTCTGCATTAGGCTCATTGCGAGAGCCCCTGCGACGCAGATTATGGTGCCCAAGATCTTGACTTTACTATATGTGCTTCTTACGTTTACTTTCTCTAACCTGCCAAAACACACGGATTTCTGGAATCAGGGGACATAATTTTGCAGAATTTGATTAGTTTTCTGCTGCATGCATTTAAAAACATTTTCGTATATATTTTTAGGTTACATGTACCTGAGAGTCCAGGCGATGATGAATATAAGACCTGGGGCAAGGTTTGGCATGGCCGTTCCCATTGTTGGCGAAGTCAGTTTTATTCCTTTAAGGGAGAAGGACTGGAACAGAGTTACCCTGCATCCTTGCCAGGGGAGATAAGATAACATATGAAAACTCCAATTTATAAAATACGTCCCACATGCATCAAAACTAGGATGGAAATGAATGAATGATCTAAAAATAGCTAATTTCCATCCAGGAAAGAATATAAAAGATTTCCTCACCCTCCGAAGGATAGCATCAAAATCTGTATGATTAACTTGTAACTGAATTTCTGGGGCCATTTCTTCCTACAACAAAAACAGAGCCAGTGAAAAATCACAATTCTACCGGTGAGAGAGAGAGAGAGAGAGAGAGACCGTACCTTTCGAAGTAGATGGCGAAGGGGAAGACGACGAGGAAGGTAGAGAAGCAGGTGAAAATGACAATGGTGAGAGGATCGATCTCCAAAGTCATGAGATAGCTCATGAACACAGCGTGGACGGCGGCGATACATTGCACGGCGATGAGACCTCCGGCGATGGCCAAATCTTCAGCCATACCCTCGTTCATCATCTCCACCATCAATCAAATGCCCCTTTTATTCTTCGGCCTCACAAACACACAGCCACTCCTCTCATTCTCTGATCACCAAAAAGTGGCATCTTCCGACGGACTTTTAATTAACTCCGATATTTGTTTGTTTCTACCGCCAATTGGGAAGCCATCTTTCATTTGTCCGTTTCCGGATATTTGCTAATTGCTTTGCCTTGTCATGCCTATGAATCCCCCCACTTTCTCTCGTTTTCTTCGTCTCTCTTCCTATGTTGTTATATATAGTGCTAGCCTCTAGTCACCCTTTTTTCACACTAAATCTAAAACTAGATTCGGTTCCAATTTTAGAAATGCGTATTTTCTCAGCTATAATTTTATAAACAGGAATCGTTTATCTGATTACCCATGATCACATATTTCTACTACTTTCGAAGTCCGTAATGTATACTCCACCCGTTTCATTGAGTAAAAGCAGACTCAACTACTTTCGTCCTGATATACCAAGATGACATGAACCCGTAAGATTTGCATATAATCAACAAAACATAACGAGAACAAATACCTTCTTTTTTTTTCAATAATAAAATGCTTAGTATTTTCTGTTTTATTTGACAAGTGTTTTAGGGTAATATTTCCTGCGTCATCATATATCGGCGGTGGAAAGAGGGGTATTAAAAACTGGCATTACTGTGAACAGAGTGGGTATTGCAACTGAGGATGTGTCGTATGTTGTATTGTGTAAAAGATTAGAAACGGAAGTGAAAGTGACAAGTGGGTGAACATGCAGGGCTCCGTTGTTGTGTGGTGGACACGTCACACTTTGATTTGATGCTTCGACCTCCAATATTGAATATTGTAAGCTCCCCCGAAAACATTGGAACCATTTGCACATTAACTGAACCTTCCCACTTGAAATCTGAGATCCCCCGGGAATTGAGGACCACCCTCACGCCATCCTCACGTGACCCCTGTCTCTTCCGAGTTACGACCATCTGATCTCCCCAGAGAGGATAAATTCGGGTTAAAGGTTGATTTGATGTGAAGATTTACAATGCAGGTCCTACTGTCCTCCTTACAAGACCCTGTTGTTTAATTGGTGGTGATTTTATCATGGTCGTAGCAACGGTTCAAGAAATCAAGAAGTGATATTGAAGAATAACCTGGTAGTACGTAGCTATGCGAAGTCTACTATGCAGTGGAGGTAAAAAGTTGGGGGAATGGGAGAATAATCTTCATTTTCTTCCATTAGGATGCTGTAATTCAAGTCTTAGGAATCGAGTTAACCGTTTCAGTTCAACCCCAGGTCTCATTGCCGAGCTGGCCAAAGATAAAACTAGTGCCGACTTCGAGTTATGTGAGGCCTCTCGATTGTTCAGTTCTGGCACTAAACCGGATGCTTATGCTCTGGTTCACCTGCTTCGAGCCGTCGCTAACCTTGGCTGTGCCTCACTTGGACATCAGCTCCACAGCTATGTTTTGCGTTCTGGGTATTTATCCGATGCCAATGCCTCCGCCGCGCTCATTAGATTTTACGTCGGAATGCAGTCAATTGGTGATGCCCACAGATTGTTCGATGAAATCCCTCAACCGAATGTGATTTCTTGGAACACCATGATTTCTGGGTACGCACATTCCGGGCAGTTTCGTAAAGCCTTGTCTGTTTTGCTTCAGCTGCAAAAATCTGACATATATGCCGACGCGTTCTCATTTACATCAGGTTTAGCTGCTTGCGGCCACCTGAGTTTCTTGAAGCTTGGCAGGTCAATTCATTCCAGGGTTCTGAAATCTGGGTTGGTTGGAGATACTGTTGTTGCCAATTGCTTGGTTGATATGTATGGCAAATGCGAGTGTGCTGAAGAGGCTGTTCGAGTGTTCTCTGAGATAACTAACAAGGACGTTATTTCTTGGAATTCAGTAATAGCTGCGAGTGCTAGCAACGGGAAAATTGAACAAGCATTTCATTTTTTGCACCTCATGCCTAACCCTGACACTATTTCATACAATGGACTGATAAACGGCATAGCTCAGGTGGGGAGTATGGAAGAAGCAGTTCAGATTTTATCCACCATGCCAAATCCAAATTCTTCATCGTGGAATTCAATAATCACAGGATATGTGAATAGGAATCAAGCTCCGGCAGCCTTGGATATGTTCAGTAAGATGCACTCGAGAAACGCAGGGATGAACGAGTTCACATTTTCTATCATTTTAAATGGGATTGCCTGTCTATCAGCCTTGACATGGGGAATGCTGATTCATTGTTTCACTATTAAGTATGGTCTGGATACATCTGTGGTTGTTGGTAGTGCTTTAATCGACATGTACTCAAAATGTGGGCAGGTTAAGAATGCCGAATCAATTTTCGAATCACTGTCTAGCAGGAATCTGGTAAGCTGGAACGCTTTGATCTCTGGCCATGCTCGTAGCGGTGATTCTATCAGAGTTATCCAACTCTTTGAGCTGCTCGAAACGGATAAACATACAAAACCTGATGGTATCACATTTCTTAACCTGTTTTTTGCGTGTTCCCACAATCAAATACCTCTTGAGGTTGCAACTCGGTACTTCAAATCCATGATCAGTGATTATGGAATAGTTCCGACCATCGAGCATTGTTGCTCGATAATTCGGCTGATGGGACAAAAAGGGGAGTTATGGAGAGCTGAAAGTATGATACACGAACTTGGCTTTGAGAAGTGTGGATTGGTTTGGAGAGCTTTACTTGCTGCTTGTGAAATTAACAGAGATTTAAAAATAGCAGAGGTTGCGGCTGCTAATTTGATGAAATTGGAGGGCAATGAAGATTATGTTTACGTGATTATGTCTAATCTCTATGCATCTTGTCGAAGATGGGAAGATGTTAGTATAATTAGGGGCATCATGAGGAAAAAAAGAGTGAGAAAAGATGCAGGTTCTAGTTGGATAGAAGTAGAGAATTTTGTCCCCTATTCTTCCGCTGCTGGAATAAAATAACTCAGTTATTCTATAGATAGGATGATAGTTCATATGTCTCCAAGTGAAAACAAAGCCTCTCATCCAGATATTATTTTACATGTTAAGGTCTTGTATTTTCAAACGAAAACATTAAAGTCAAATATAACATTTCCCATTAAATCGAGAGATAATTGCATGATGATCATTTTGGAAAATATATCATAAATCCTTCAAAAAAAATTTCGAAGAATATTATATTATGAATTACATAAAAAATTCTAGAACAAAGTTTCATATTATGTACCGGAAATAGTATAACATCAATTAATATATCTATTAGCATGCCTCTTTTTCAGCCTACAAAACAGGCCACAGCGTCCTGGAATTTCGTTCCTAACATGGACATGTTCCCCTGGGAGCTCTCGAAGGACGAAGGCGACGAGTTTATTTAGATCATGAACTTCAGAATAAACATATTGATTTGCTGACGAAGACAAAGATGCTTTACAATGAAGTTGGTAAGTTCAGTGCTGGATTTCTCGAAACCCTAGTTTGCACCAAAATAATAGGAAAGGCATGATACGATTCTGATGGCACGAAGAGCACAATTAATGGCTTGTCAAGGTGATTTGACATATTACTAAGCGCGCACCTTAAACTATTGAGAAATTCATGAAAATAGAGAAATGTAACTACGTTTAGGCGTTTTGAATTCCTAGCCATTTGATTGATTTGAGAAAGGATATAAAAATTAATTTGCAGCCCCCCTTTTTCACGGGACCATGATCTTTGCCTAGGTAATCAGACGATTGATCACCATAGAGCCACCGCTCATGTTACAGCAGCAACAGGAACGGTGAACCGAAAATCAATATGATAGAGGAAATTGAAAATTAGCAGCAGTAGTAGTAATAGTAATAATAATAATAATAATAAATAGAGATAGGTGCAGATGGTCTGAATTTCATTTAGTAATTATGAGTGACATAATTTCATAAAAATGGGGAGACTAAACATTATTCATCATGATACTAATTTATGAGCTTAAAAGAATCACAGTACAGCTGCTCGCTGGATCCCGAAAAATCATCCAAAACAAAAAAGCCTTCAGATGTGTTAATTATATCAACTCTCTCTTGGCAGGTCACCTTGGAACTGACAATCCAAGCTCTGTGAAAAGCAAATGAAACAAGGCTCAATCAGTAATATGCCTGATTACAAAAGCCTACAAATTGCAATTGTAAATAAAGAATGACGAACCACATCTGTAAGCAAGATAAATTCTTACAACATACTACGTTAAAAAATAATCCTCTAATATAAAGAGTTACAGTGATTCAGAGATACATAAAATAACTTTAAAAGTTACTGTAATTAAAACCTGCATTCATGTTAATTGTGTACTCTCGTAACTTTGCTTCAGAATAAAATATAAATGGCAAAACACATTAAGCACAATTTATGAGATTGGTATTATCTATGGTTGTCCAAATAGTTTGAGGTCAAACGTACAAAGATAAATCCCACCTTCAAAAGTGCATGCATGTCTCACGTCCCATCAATTCCATCTGGCCAAAGTAGCAGTTAGGTTATCATATTATGCTTATTTATTATAAAAGTATATTGTAAATTTAATGCAAAATATTTGCATCCAAGCATCTGGTTGGCTGTCCTATGTCCAAAAGCAGCTCATCAAAATCCGACACTCAACCTACTTATCATTTCCATTTTCCTATTCGACACTGGGAGGCTTTTAACTTGTATCTTTTCCTGATGAATCCCGCCCAGAATTAACAAAATGACTCCTTGCTCGGATAGGAAGCCATCCTATCAGAGACAGCCAGACATACGATGGCATTCTCCTCATACACTAACAGGAGAGAATTTGAATAGCACAGATACAAAGTACAAACCACTAAATACATAAAGCATGGATCATCCCCACACTTTATAGATATGCTATTTGTTCAGAGTAAGAAGAGTTGTAAAGATTAACAGGATCATGTCTCTTGTGGAAGCCGTTTACAATGGGTCCACCGTAAATTATTTTGTGGAGTTTTAAACAAACCAGGCCACGATACACAAACAACTAGGAAGAAGTATAGTGATCAATATGCTGAGGCATTGACCCCAACATAAGCCACCCATGAACAGTTCATCCATTGTTTCAATGATCGTCTAATTTTCTGCTGGTATAGAGGGAAATACAGAAGGGTTGGGACTTCTAAAAAGCAGACAAATTTCCCATAAGAAAATCACCATACCATACCACTGGGGATAAATTCAAGAAACAGCCATAGATAGAAAGTCAATTTGCTTTGAAAGGAAAGAAGAGAATCTGTGAATTATGGGATGGTACAGGCTTAACCGCTTTAGACAATGCTAATTTATATCTCTCCCAGTTTTCCCCTCCTCTTTTTGTTTCTTTCACTAAGTTTTCCAGCCACCATTCCTATAGGAACTTCATATTAAATTCCAATGAACACTAGAAACTTCCTGCAGAACTTTTTGATGATAACACAAATTGTAGCTCTGTTCTAATACTGCTGAAGAGAGTGTTAAATGTTAAAACATCGTTTTTATTCATACTTGATAATGAAGCAGTAGGCCATAATTGGTAGGTCCCGCAGATTCCCAATTAACTATGTGCCTGCAGGAACCAAATCTTACAGTTAGTTGACATTGAAACTCCCAATTAAAGCACTTTCATTTCGTACTTGCAGCCTTCAAATGGTTCCACAAAACCCACTACCCCTAGCCATGACACTATTATAGATTCTGGTGTAAATCAGACTATGTGACTCTGTCCGTCCAACTCTCAATTTCTATACACTTGCTTATTTGGCATTACGGGCAACAGACCTCAAATTAATCAAACCACGATGTGATAGTGCCAGTATACAAGTCATGAATGCATTGGTTAAGTAGATTCCTCATGTAAATTGCAAACAAATTGGTAACACAAAAAGTTAAAACACACTCAGGAAATCACAACAAAGGCTTCAAAAAGGTCCCCCTTCATTTCAAAGTTCTTGAGGTTCATCAAGTTGAAAGCATGTTGAATGCAATTCAGATGCGAATAACAAAAATGTTCAAAAGGAACATCAATATAAGAAGCAAGGAAGCTACTCACAATTGCTAATAATTTTGAAAAAGAAAGTACTAGAGGCCGGGAGAGGTGCAGCAGAGTGTACCCTGAGAAAGAGCTCGGCAACTCCTGGAAGTTATGCTCAGGCACGACGTCATTCTTGCCGCTGCAACCGCACTGTGTAGCGGCAACATTGACTGCAGGCATCCCAGCTCCGGCGCAATCCTGCTGCAGATAAATCAAGGAAAATTAACCAAAAAGAAGAATATAAGGCTTATTGGGAATTAGAAATTTGAAGAAGAGATATATTAAAACCTGGTCAAGGAGGATTTGCGAAAAGTAGAAGTGGTTGATTTGATAGGACTAGCCGGAGTGGCGGCTGATTTGGATGAAGGAGTACGAAGATTGGATTTAATGGCAGATTTAGCGGATGCAAGAAATGTCCTTTGCGCAATTCTGCTGCAGCCTGAAGCCATCGCCGAGGGGACGGTGTGGGTGAAAAACGGAAGACTCGACTTCCAGTTGAAGAGCTGCAGGAAAGAAGGGTTTAGGGCTTTGCGGTTGCAGGCGTCACAGACACAGCTCCTCCTAAACGACGCCGTGCGGTGCCATCTCTTTGTCACCCTTCTTGTTGGGCCAAACATTCTTTTTCCCCGCAAAAAAAGCCCAATGTGGTACCACGGATTTTGGGCCTCCTTAGCCTGATGGGCTACCGTCCGAAAAAAATGAAGACCCTTTCACCCCCCTAAAAAGAAAACAAAAGGAGCAGGGGAGGGAAGAGATGAATACCTGTTCAGTGTTCACCGAAAGCAAAAGGAGGAGATAAAAGACCTTTCGCGTAGGTACGTAAATGTCAAAACAATAAGATCAGGGAAAAGGGATTAACGAGGTCACCAGTTTAGTTACTGAAAATCGAAGACTCTTATTCCACTAGGCATTAATTTGAATTGCCATGTCATCCAACCCAAGTCCTTAAGTCAAGGCTTAATCAGTGTTAGTGTATGACTTTTTTTTTCCTTTCCTTTAAAAAACATGATTTGTGACTTGTTCCTATAAGTGAGAAGTCGTGTGACAAGTCTTCCCAAAAAAAAAGATTGACAAAGTTCACAGCCCCCCCCCCCCCAAAAAAAAACCCTTTTCTCTTTTGTTCCCCTCCACTCGCAAGAAATGAGTTTGGTTTCTTTGGAAACGTATCACCAAAGCAAAAAGAGATACCTTGTTTCCTTTTATTACTCAGGCCACGCATATATTCCTTTTTCATATTTTTCCTTGCCTTTTCCCAAGTGGGCTCTCATTGCCCTTAGCATTTCCATGTTCCCTTCGTTTGTGTCAAACTGCCAAGTCTACTCCATCAACCATCTTAAGTCGAGGTATAAACATTATTGGTACCCCCAACTCTCTTTTCAACTTCAAAAGGGAGAATTATCGAGAGATTCATGAGAAGAAATTTAATCGCTAAAAAGTTCTATTGATAAGTAACCAACCTAAATATGTTGTCATTTCTTATTCTGAAACCTGTTACTATTTACTCTTTACTTATTGATATACTTTAGGGTAATTAAATATTTTTTCTGAGATCCGATTGTAATTCTCTTATTTGAAAATGATGACTTTTTGAAACATAACAAGATTGAAGAAATTTCCTTTCCTTTGGTGGTAACTTATTCTATGGTACGTACACTTGCAAATGAATATATGAAGAGGGACAAGGGAAAAAATTTAAGTAGATAGAAATATTATGATCAATCCTAGAGCCAAAGAAAGAGTCCATTTGGACAGAGTGCTTTCTGACTCAATGGCAAGATTGGACGAACTTTCAGACTGTAGCAAGGTATTAAATGCGAAGTTAGGGTTTGACCCATACAGCGCCTGTACTCCCTCCACGTCATCAATCTTCAAGTCTACCTTCTTCGTCCTTGGCTTCAAGCTCGGGTACATAACGGCTCCTTTAACCGAAGAGTGAGCCAGGCCAAGTATATGTCCTATCTCGTGCGTAACCACAGATTCCAAATCGACGGCCACCTTTGACTTATCACGCTCGAAATCGACGGACCACGTTTCAGCTGCGTCCAAGTGGAATCTCCCATTTTCTGGGCAAAACGCATGTGCTAAAATCCCAAGCACCCCGTCAAACGGCTCTCCGTCGCCATGATTCCTGTGGTAGAACCCAATCCGGATGTCGGCCGATTCGTATCGACTCGTCTCCTGAAATTTTACCGGGATCACCGATGCCCAGCGCGAAAAGGAGCGTTCAAAAACAGTCCGAATTTCCGATATGCGGAGCCGTTCAATTAAGTTGTCGGGGGAAAAAGCATACGTGAGAGTCATCGGAGAACCTCGAACCCACCGTGGCTTACCGTAAAAGTAAGAGAAGTGATGAGTTGAATGGATTACATGCGACGGGTCGTCGCTTACGCCACATCTCGGCGTCATGATGGTTGATATGGTATGAGAATCAAGTTTTCCGGTGACGGGCAAGCCCAGCCTCTCCTGGTAAAGCAAAAGAGCCGACTCGAACTTAGCATCGAAAGTATCGGTGAAATCCGACGTCGTACCACCTTTATGGAGATAGCCGAATTGGTGGAAGTAGCTCTTGAGCTCCGATATGCCGTTGATTTGGCTGCCTCTCTCTGCGTGTAGGAATCTAGAGAAATTGTGCCACGTGGCGTTGTGATTGTGAGTTTCGGCGGTTATTGCAGTTTCAGTTTCGGAGATGGTCCTGGCGGGAGAGCAGGGGCGGGAGAGTAAAAGGTAGGCCAAGGAGATGAAAAGGCAGTAGTAAATGAATTTTTGGAACATAACGACAATTGTTTTCTATCGGGTGGAGCCCCGATCGGCGCAGGGAGGGACGAAGAACTTTTTGGGAGAGTTAAAGAAGTCTCAACATGGATCAGCACATATATAATTACTAATTGGGAATTATCATGATTCTGAATTTGAATAGAATTATATGCCAAAAACTTGTCTTTGGCATGATGGAAGCCAAATATAAGATGTCAAAGCTAAGAAGATTCTGTCTTTTTTATTGGGCATTCTGACTTTTGAAGTGTAATGGTGGGTAACCTATTGATTTTGTTTCCAACTTCCTTTCATATATGCAAATATTTGGGTTCTGGTTTCTAACAAAAGAAAATTGCAAATGAAAAGAAACTTGTTCTGATCGTTTCAAGTACGTATGTCAACTGAGATACGATGTTACTTAGAACTTGTTTAGTTGACTCACGGTTGCACTTGCTGGTCGAAAAGCTCGTAGGGATCGAAGTTTGTTTTTTGTTTTTGATCTTTTTGACATAGAAGACAATGATTAGATACGACAGACCATCATAACAAGATGTTACAGACACACACACACGCTTTCTCTGAATTCCCAAACTAAAATTCTCTTCTTCCAGGATCAGTAATTTGCTACGCCGCTCTATCAAGCAACCGTATTTTTGAATGTTTATCCATGAAAGCAATCCCAGCTTAGAGCACCACGACTCAATTAGCTGAACAAACTTCTTGTGCAGCTTGTCCCTGTCATGTAGTGTATACATACTAAGTATTACTAATCCAATTTCCATAGAAAGGGGGGAAAAGAAAAACTAACTTGCGACAGAGAATGAGTTCATCACGCAATTCTAATGACCATCGCTACAAGGCATCCGCAATTGCATCTTATTGAGGTGCGAAAACAGCAAGATAAGATAAGCAGATGAGAAGATCAATACATTACACGAGATGGGTTAGCTCTATAAATTTATAGAAGTATATACGTAGGCATCTTATACAATATACTACGTCTTTTTCTTAATTATATCTTTTAATTTAATTGAAAAATAAATGTATCTTATATTAAAAGCAGGATGTATGTGTGTGTGTAAAACACGCAAGCTCAAGGATGAAAAGATCAGTAATAAAGTAAATGATCATGGCCTTTCAGTCTGGTAGACTAGTACATTAAAAGGGGCATGAGCATTTTGATATTTTTGTTATACACTTGTGAGAGGGTTGTTGAGTTATTTTGCTAGTGCAAGGACGGTTAGGGACTACAAGCCACTTTAATTGGATATCGCTTTCAATACGCAATTAGATTTAGAACATGTGGATGAGGGATTAGGGAGGTTCCACTCTGCCTTCTCGGATGATTTGATTTCTTTCACTGTCACCACTGCTAAATGAGGGTCCTACCCTTCCTCATCGATCTCTCTCGTCGGCATCGATTTTTAATTGATAACTTTTTTTTGGTTGATACTGGGACGAATCTCGTGGAATATAATGTAAAGAATAAGAGAAATACAAAAACAATAAAGTTGGAGGAAATAACAAATGAGCTAGGCGGCAAAGCAGATGAGAACATGCGCGCACTGTAGAATTGTTAATTGTTTCTTTTAACTTTTGATGGATGAGAAGACTATAGATGTCAATGGTGGGATGTGAGGGACGTTGACCACTCTCTCACCTTCTAGTCAAACACAAAAGATTTCATCTCTGCTGGAAAACTATATATGATGTTACTTTTAAATTAAAATTGATTTTGTATTGAAATATAGTAATTATAAGAAGTTGATCGAGTAGTTCGTTGTTCATAAACACACACACATCAGGTCCATTTCTGGTCATGACTTATCAGCCTAACCCCCCCCCCCCAATCTCAGATTATAAATTTAACTTCTGTCTTACTTCCATTTTTAGGGTTTAGGGTTTAGAGTTTAGGGTTTAGGGTTTAGGGTTTAGGGCTGCTCCTTTTCTTTTAAAATTTAACCACGTCCAATTTTAAGCATCTCATATACTATCTCGAGTTCTCAATACAAGATTTTGTTTGACTTTTATTTTGGTTTTAAATATAAGACCCTAATCCACTTTGTTTATCATATTTATCTTTTTTCCCCCCTAAAATAGTCCTTCTAGCCAATAAATTTGATTAGTAAAAATATTTTAGGAAAGACAACATTTATTTATTACAAATAACTAATTTAACTTATTTTTTTTTATCTACTCAAATTAGTCAACTAACTCTTATAATTAAAACCGTAAGTAGTACAATACATGGGTTAGAGCTCTAGTATATAGAGAACTCCTATGAGTCACAGTGCAATTTATCTTGGGATTTTTGTAGTTTTTGTATCTTCAGGTTTTATTAGACCTCATCAGGTAATTTTTTAAAAAAAATTATTTCAATATTTTTTTCGCATCTCAACATGTTAAATGTTAAAAACAGGCACATTTTAGCTGTCCAGTTGAGGCTAATTCAAGTTATTAGTGTATTTTGAGCATCACTAGGTACAACTACGGCTTTTAAGTTCCATCGAATGGTATAATTTATAAACTGATAAGAGGGAAAAAAAAAATCTACACGTATTTAACTGTTAAAAAGACTAATAATAGAGATAATAGGCTAGTATTGCTGGGGAATGCCACGTTTCACCACAGAAATCTTCGTGGTGAATGTTGCTGGGATATTGAAGAAGCAGCGATGACTGGAAATCCATATAGCTAATATTGTGTGTGATGGGAATTGGAATGCGCTCAGGATATTTTTTTCCCGAATCAAACACCGGATAACATTACTTACTCAAAATGATTGAAGATTATATCTGGTTTCTCTCGTTACTTTTTACCTCTAGACACAGGTGGAGGTTGCATGCTAAAAAGTTCATGAGTTCCAGAATTATAATTAGATTTTTTGTTGTTTTTATTATTTTTTAATATAAAACATAATATGCTTTTCGAAAAACAATATTTAATTTTAATACAAAATTTATATATTTTTATTTTTACATTTTTTCCTGTGTCTTTATTCAAATCCAAAAAACTTAATAGCAAAAACATAATGAAACGCACACATACAAGAGTCTTTTGTTGTTTTTGTTTTTGGTTTTAGCTTAATGGTCATGGATCAGGGCCTCTCAGGAGCCTATGCCAAAGAAAACACCGGGTCAGTTCAGTCCATTTTGCGATCCATGAGTTGGAGCATCCAACTTCCCAGCACGTAACATGAATTCTAGCCTGACATCTGACGCCTAGTCTCAATTTTAGGTTCTGGAACATCGAAAGATCTCACTAGGAAAGTTTTACATCTACGCAGTTTCGACTTAATCCAAAGTGTTTCCAACATGGATTTCAACATTAATCTGATGTTCGTTTGTTCATCATTATTTTTAACACCGGTCTTGCAAAACATCTTTTCTGGGTCAGTTAGTATTTCAAGCTTCCAAATGAATACATAAAACCTTGTTGCATGGTTATTCAGTTATTCTTTTCATTCTCGGATGGGATCAGATCACAGCATTGGTGAAAAAATAGAAATAACACCATACAAATTCCTTTCATTCTTCCCTGCAAGCTAGTTTTTTTCCCCGTGGAAAGTCTCCATAGCCACTCGTATCAAGCATACTTCATAGCTCACTCTCCAAAGTGATTAGTAATTAATAGAAACCCCGAATTAGGGTTCCTCCACAAAATCTAGATTGGTGGAAGCCTTAGTTTACTACCATCCGCATCCACATTACTTGCTTTCACACTCCTCTCAACCCCCTCGCCCAACTTATCTGTTTTCACGCAGCTCCGAAGGTAATGTGGCTTTAACAAAAAGTGAATGATATGCTGGCAATTTGGGGTTCTTGTTTTGACCCGAATGGGTGTGGCCAAAGCGTGGAGGTTTAACTTGTCGTCGACGAACCTGGCTCTGTTACACTACCCAAGTATTAAGAATGTGTGTTGGAGATCGACGGCGACGGCGCCGGCTAAACTTCCGCACAGGAAGTCGATCTCCTTTTCAGTGGTGGCGTGCGGGTTGATGCTCTTCGGGTTGGGTTTAATTTCGCTTTTAACGGGTCATATGGCTTCTGATCTCGAATGGTACTCCCAGCGATTAGTTCAGCACGCTTTCTACTCCAGACTGGTAATTTTTATGTGAAAGAGTGTGTATACGTCTGTGCGTTAGGTAATTAAATTGGTAGTGTTGCGTGAATTAGCGTTTCAGATTGGTGTCTAGATGCATGTGATGCATTACTGTTTTGATATTTTGACGTCATACTGAATATAGAGTGCGGTTGTCGATGGATAGCTTTGGCTTCGAAGGCATTGTTGTTGAATGGCAGCTATAGATGAGAGATGGAATTTGTTATTTTTGTGCCTAATTAGAAATATACTTGACGTTAACCTTTGTAGAATGAGTTTTATCCTGATCCAGTTGATGTATGGCAATCTCAATATTCTAGATACTACTATGGATGCAGTGAGAGGGGACGTCACTTTGCTCGTAAGTAAATGCACCATGTTTTGCCTTCTGTTTCCTATTTGATAATGCATATTCTTCCTTGAATTGCTTATTACTCTGCATGAGACATCAATATTCTATGTAAAATATGTAGTAAGCTGCCCTATTTATAAGCTACAGATAGCAAGGCTCATTCTTCAGATTCCATGCAATTCTCAAGAAAACGTGTCTAGTTGGCCCTGCTCCAAAGATTCCACAACCCTGACCCCCTTGTGTTTTCCCCATCTTTTTATATGATGCACTTTAAACAAATAGTGATTCTCAAAAAAATTATTCCAGACTCTCACAAGTTTCCATGCTGTGTTTTTCTCCCTGGAACTAAATGACATCATTGTGTTTACTAAGTATGAGAGCAACTTTGGCTAGGGTTTTGCATGCTTTAGAGGTAATTTTTTCCCCACGCCATCCCCTCAACCTTTTTCTGAACCTCAAAAGCACAAGAATTATCACCACAGGAAGAAAATCAAGAGAACTGAAACCATTTGGGACAGTTTGGCAAGTTATTGGCCAAGAAGACAGAAGAGATTGTTTACGTGGTGGTATGATCTTTCTGGTTTCTATTGCAAATTCTTCTCATTGCAAACGTCTTACCTTATCTGGGCATCATATGGTAAAGAATCAACCATTCCATGGGATTCCTATTATTCAAGCACTATTTTCTTCATTTCCACCTCATAGTCCTTGGTTATTGTGTTAGAGTTCAGACGTTTTCTTGTATTACCATGATATCCTAAGTATTCTATGTTGGTTAACAACAGAATTCTGTGTTTTACATTAAAGAAAAGCATTCTAGGCATGGTATGTCTATGTGGGGCAATGTCAAATCTTCAGCTCTGATTAAAAGTCACCATAAATATCATAATTTGCCTTGTTATTTTTTGCTTGATGCTAAAAAAATTGGGAAATTTTTGCCTTGTACACTTCATCTTGTTTATCTTTTTATTTTTATCTTGTTAAAGATATGTTAAAAAAAGCTAGAGCTGATGCAATCCAGGTTGGCATAATGTATAATGGATCCACTATATTTTTGTTGTGTTGTTCCCAAAATTCAATATGCTTCTTCTGAACGAATTTACTTCTTAAGTTGGAGTGAGCAATACTAATTTTCTATGTGAAACTTTCTTTGATTTTGGTAATTGGATAATGTAGCCATTGTTCGTGAGCATTTGTCAAATGGCTACTTGCTTATTGCGACTAGCGGTGGACTGAACCAACAAAGAACTGGGGTGAGTACAAGTTTAGATTTTATGATATACCTTGTCCCTCTAAGAATTCGTACAAGATTTGATGGTCTTTATTTAATGATAATACCTGTATTCATGCAAGTTGATATGCTGCCTTGACCGCCCTAGTTGCTTTTTATAAATTAACAGCATGGAAAATTCACTACACATTTTTATGCTCATAATAGGTACGTTATTTCTTTGGGAATGACCATTATGTTCTTGCATTCAGATAACAGATGCTGTGGTTGTTGCTCGAATTCTTAATGCTACACTGGTAGTACCTGAGTTAGATCATCAATCATACTGGAAGGATGACAGGTAATTTGCTGATTTCAGTAAATTCATTATCTGCAGGTTCTACCGGGTGAGAATCAAATTCAGTTCCTTTGTTTAAGACACCCTTTATTTGTATGCAGTGACTTCAACAACATCTTCGATGTTAATTGGTTCATTGCTTATCTTGCAAAAGATGTTAAAACTGTCAAAAGAGTTCCTAATAAAGTCATGCGTTCAATGGAAAAGCCCCCATATACAATGCGTGTACCCAGGAAATCAGAGCCTGAATATTATCTTGACCAAGTTTTGCCAATACTCTTGAGAAGACGAGTAAGGCCATATTGTGATTATAAGTGTTTTTAAATCTCTGTTTTTTTAGCAAAAGCATGTTTTGATTTGTGCAGTGTAGAAACTGATATTTGGGTGCTTTGCAGGTTCTGCAACTGACAAAGTTTGACTATAGACTTGCAAATAACCTTGATGATGAGCTGCAAAAACTACGTTGCCGTGTTAATTACCATGCTTTAAGATTTACAAAACCCATAAGGGTACTTGGTCAGAGACTTGTCATGAAAATGAAAAAGATGGCAGGCCGTTTTATAGCTGTCCATTTGAGGTTTGTGTGAAGAGCCTGATGGATTAATGTTCAAGTTTTAAGTTTAGCTGCCACTTAAAAGGGGCATAAGTTTTCACAAGAAGTGCTTAATTTTGTGTGATTGAAACTGGTTCTCTTTCCTTTTTATTTCCTTCTCATTAATGTGTATGCACTTTCTAGGTTTTACATTTTCTTGTCGATTCTAGTCTTAACTTGTTTCAACCTGTTTAGTTTGTATCTCTCCTTTTGCACCTTCTGCTATGTGGGTTGTGAAATTAGAAAACAGATGTGTGTTTGCTTCTGCTGTGTCAGAGGTGCTAAGGGAGGGCAAGCAGATTATCCGCATAAGCAGTATTATTATTTTCATAAAAGAATGAGCAATAAGTTAGGGAGAGTTTGCCAATGAGCTTATAGCTCACAGTGCACTTGTCTCGGTCTTTAAGATTTAAGGTGGATATGATGTCAATGGTTTGATTATTATCTTGCCCATTGGAGGCTGGGGGTACTGATGGCAATTGCTGTTGTCTATATGATAGTTAGATTGTCTTAACAGCATTCGTAACTGATTTATGGCAGGTTTGAGCCAGATATGCTAGCATTTTCAGGTTGTTACTTCGGTGGAGGAGAAAAAGAGAGACGTGAGCTTGGTGAAATTAGAAAAAGGTGGACAACATTGCCTGTAAGACTTCATTGCTCGAACATATTATGATATAATCCTTAGTCAAGTGATAAGACGGCGATATTTTGTCATTTTGGTTATTGATGCTTGAATTGCCGGTCTGCATTGTTTTCACATGCATAGCTTATATATGATTTCGAATTCTATATTGCCTTGCCACATGATGCTTATTAAGTTTATGGCAGGAATATTTCCTATGAATGCTATATGAAATGAATGAAGTTCTTACTCATGTAAATAATTCAGGACTTAAGCCCTGATGAAGAGAGAAAGCGAGGGAAATGTCCTCTTACTCCTCATGAAGTTGGTTTAATGCTGCGAGCACTTGGTTTTGCAAATGATACATCCATCTACGTTGCTTCAGGAGAGATATATGGTGGAGATGAGACTATGCAGCCTCTCAAAGCTCTTTTCCCTAACATCTTTACAAAGGAAATGCTTGCTGATGAAGCGCTGAAGCCTTTCCTTCCATTCTCTTCCCGCCTTGCTGCCATTGACTATATTGTCTGTGATGAAAGTGATGTATTTGTCACTAACAACAATGGTAACATGGCCAAAATTCTTGCAGGCAGAAGGTGAGATAAAGAAATTTCTTCTAAAATGAAATTGTGGGATGTTATTCTACTAGTACATTATTTATCCTTACAAGGACATTCAACCTGTTTCAAAATATAATACTGAGTAATACTTCATAATAATTATATGCTTGGAGCTGGTTGACCCATGTGGTTTTACTTTTATCGAACGCGTGTAATTTACACCATCCATGGCCATCTGCAGTCTTGCGGAAAAAAGGATGGATTTTTCTATAAGCCTAATTTATCGTGATTATGAACATGAAAGAAGAATCAGAGTCCCAATCCCGGATATAGATAAGTAGAGATGGTCCGATCTTAAGATTAATGTTCAGATCACATGATCCATTAGGTTAATAATATATTTCTTGTCCTATAGTACTCAGAGTTAGTATATTTCTTATCCTACATTGAGTTTGCCCTTTGAACCAGTATTAATTTTAAATGAGACTTCTCATAGACTTCTCATTCAGCCTGCGTTGACTTTGGTTCCTTGCGTATAAATATAAAGTTGAGGATTTGATGCAAACTACAGGACTGTACAATACATAGCATGCGTCCCTTTAGTTGCTTTCAAACACGTAACTGCCTCTGAATGTTATGATTGCTCTTTACCAATTCAGGATTTGTTTCCCAAAGCGCGTGGTTTCTTTTACTTTGTCATCTTTTTAGTTGTGTTTATTTTTCGGGGATCTGAGAGCGGTGTTGGAGACTTGAAGAATCTAACTTGCGAATCTGATTTTGCTAATTGTAGGAGGTACATGGGTCACAAAAGAACCATTAGACCCAACACGAAGAAGCTTAGCGCGCTGATGATGGCGAGGGACAAGATGGAGTGGGATACCTTCGCCAGAAAGGTTAAGGCATGCCAGAGAGGATTCATGGGTGAGCCAGATGAGATGAGACCCAGACGAGGAGAATTTCATGAATATCCCTCCTCTTGTGTGTGCGAGAAACCGTTTGTGGATGAAGATGCTCACAGAGGATATCACCCTTTTAAGCATATCACCTCGAACGTGACAGCAGAAGATGAACCCATTATGCATTGAGGGATTAGAGCTGAGACTTCAACTGAAGTGATAGGGAAAGATCAAAAGAAGGAAATAATGATTGTGCTCGGTATTTATTGATGCCTTCTGGGTGTGATGGAAATGGTACGGTAATACTAATTACTCCATCTTCACATCCGGCGATGGGGTTTGAGTAGTTGGTGAATGGGCCAATTTAGACCCGTGTATAGGTTAAAAGGCGTTGATGCGCCACAAATGTCCATGGATATGCTCGGTGCAAAGTTTGGATTGCAACCATTTAATTAACTGGTCTTCTCCAATTTCTACTTGACCTATGCAGTTGTATGCTACCTTCATTGAGTTTTAACATGAAGATCATGATCGATTAGTTCTCGTCCAGAGGCGTAATGATACCGTCTAGCCTTGTGATAAGTCAGGCCCAAATTGCATTTTTGGGTAGGGAAAGCAGAACTAAATTAAAAATGTTTTTTTTTATTCATATCACCAACATATAACAACTTAGACAAGTGACAGTTAAACAGACACCATAGCTCTTCATCGTGCCATTATCCGATCTCGGAGCTCAAGAAGCGAGGGGAAGGAGTGTGAGGGAGACAACCGAGGGAAAAAAAAATAAAGAAAAAGCGAAAGGAGAAGTCTCTCGAGTCAGTACCTAGAAGGGTCATCACGTTATCATTTAATAACCGGAAAGCCTCTATAAACCAGATTAACTTGGAGAAATTCCTATACAGCCTACAGTGCCAACGGCCCAAGGAGATTAATTCATTACAAACAAGACTAAACTGCATTATTATGAACAGCTACCAGACTAGTTTGCCTAAACCCAAAGAAGCAAGAATTTTAATTTCTAGCTTCCCTACAGTAATAATATACACATCTATGCCGGGCATATCAGTCGTCCAAAATACAGTCGGAATTTTGACTGAACTGCATCGCTGCAACGAGAGCGTTCACCGTTGGTTATTATTCCCTGTAATGATCAATCAGTCAGTTATAACGTAAAACGGACGCATCGGAGGTAAATAGGCATTGAACATCACCGGAAATAGAAATCCTTGTGTCAAGACTCTAACCCCTTGAAGCATTGCGGCTCTGGTTTTTGTGACTTTTGTCATGTGAAACGGATGGAACCTTAGTGATTATCAAAGAACTCTGCAGTCCTTCTAATAGCTGCCATCCCAAAGCAAAAAACCACATCAGCACCAAAACAAGCAAAATAACAGTGAATACAGAACCAGTATTTCATTGCAAGGTTAGACAATGAAAATGCCTTTTTCCCCCTTAAAAAAAAATCTCTATTCAAATAGAGTTATAAATTTAAGAATTAAAGTTACGTATTGGTGCAGGCCATTTTTCTATCCAGCATTCAGTTAGGTAACTCATTGGGTAACCACAGGAAATGATCTCCCCTTATCATGCTGGTACTATACTGCTAAATGCAACCTGGTACAACTTTCAATTATAGAAAAGCAAATAAATTAAATACTCACTCTTGATGTTGGCTGGATCCTACGATTGGATCTACGGGGCTCGTTAACTTCAGATGTTGACTTCACAGAATCACTATCCAAAGCTTTTTCCTCCTCAGTCTGGCCCAACTTTCCACCAGCAAGGGCGAGTTTTCCTTTACTTGCCCTTGACGTGGATGTCTTCTTAAAGGAGGGAGCATCAACTGAGGTTGGCAGCGAAGAAAATAGGATTGGTCCCTCAGCTGCTCCATCAACCAAAGGGTGGGATGCTGTCTCCGACCGAGTTCCATTATCTGATGCATTTTGAATATGGCTTCCATCCTTGATCCTTTCTGTATGATCTGTTAGATTATCAGATTGGGAAAATGTATTTGCCAAAATATTGTCTTGCAGTGGGACTGAACGATCCAAAACATTGTGTGACTTTTCAGGCTTGGAAGTCTTGAGTTTGGGGTTGGCCCCTCGCTTCTCCTTTGCATCATTCTTGGAACTACTTTTCAATCCTCGAGACCCTGGAACTTGAGGCATCAAGAAATTCGCTAGCTTAACCGAATCATTCCCATTAATTTTATTGCTCCTATCAGCGACATAATGCTTGCTTACTTCCATAAATTTCCTTTTCTTCCCAGGCTTTGGAACCCCAAAAATCACCCTTGATCCTTCTTTCTGAAGACCAGTCCTTGCCATTCTCTGTGTATCAGGCTTATTTTCAGTCTTGCTGGTCTTACCAGTGTTAAATACCTTCTCATTGTCAGTCAAATTAAGTAATCTCAATTCATCATGGTTCACTGGCTCCACAGTGTCAAGTTTTTTTAACATCTTATCTTTCCCCTTTGCCTCTATTGTAGGACCACCCAGTTTAAGTCGCTTTTCAAGTGGCGTATCACCCTGCGTGCAAAATAAACGACTCAGCATAGAAAAATATGAAGATGACCATCAAGTGAAGCTGTAAAAAAAATAATAATAATAACAAAAATACCTCACGGGTGGAACGGTCATTTGCCCCCACCCTAGAACATTCAGTCCACTTCCCATCCTTCCAAATGCGTGATGGACGGAGATACCATGCTCTAACCACTGATGTTTCTCCAGTAGCTGAAAAGAACAAATGTGATGAAGTACATTCAGGAAACTGGTAAGAGAGCAAAGACAAATTTGTATTCAATACATGATGCATGTACCTGGAAAGTGGACAGTAAGTGTTTCATCTTTCTTGATCTCTATCACAACTCCTTCCCGCCAGCTGAAAATGAAAACAATGTGATGTCAAATAAAATCCAGCAGCGCAAATATATTGGTAATCAAAAGAACTTGAAACCTTATTCAACGAACGAAACATCAGATGGCTAGCAAACAAGATGTGAGATTGGGGTATGAAAAATAATGGTAGTCCCATAATCAAACAGTAAGAGGACATCATGGCTGTAATAATACAACAAATGGCTGGTAAGTAAAAGAATGCTGAAAACTATAGATAGTTGCACCTTTCTTCTATCCATGCATCAACTCTATCCCCAGCAGACCAAGCAAAATCTCTCATAGCTGCTCTACGTCTCTTCCTTGTTCCTTCATGATGCAAGTCAGTTAAAGGGCGAGCAATGCGTATTCTAGGTGGCTTGTCTCCTTCACCTTTAAATGTAATCCATTCCTTTAAGGGCCCGGCACCTTAAAAATGTGAGATTTAATCATTAGAATTAAAAAAATGTTTCCAATCTTAATCCAAGATGACTGGAAATATTTAACTAAAAAAATGTGCAAAGGACATGAGAGACAACAAACTGAATATCATATCAACAAAAAGTTTTCACATCCAAGAGTGCATAAAAGCCAGCTTCAACACAAACACTCAAAAGAAATTGTAAAAGCCAGTCAAATGATTTGATCTACTAATTTTTACATTCAGATATTCCTTGTTTCAAGAGTTCAGAAACATTTGATTGCACACATAATAAGCCTAATCCAAAGGATTTAGCATATAATAGTCAACATATGAAGACAAAGTCCTGTGAGTTTTATTCAGCGCCCAAACAATTGCAAAGATTTCATTCTCACTAAAGAACAAGGACCAGTAAGCTCTAACCCACCTCCATCAGCTACAAGGGCAGTGTAGCAAACATAAGCATCACCATCCTTCAGGCTCAAAACATTGGCAATATACCATGCTGCTTTCCATCCTTCTCCGTCTTTGAAAACCTGAAACATAGTATCTCTTCAGTTTTTCCCCTTTTTTTGTTTTGTTTTTTGTTTGTGTGTGTGTGTGGGGGGGGGGGGTGGGAGCGGCTTGAAATGGCTTTAGTAGGTAGACAAAACCTCACTTAACAGTGAACTACTCATGACCATAAATTGAAATAAATTAAACAGAGTCAACTGTAGAAAACAACCTCTATGAGTGAACCCTCCTTGATGTTCTCTTCTTGCCCAGATTCACTTCCAAAGCGTGTTTGCGTATTCGATTCTGGAACCACATCAATTGAATTGACTAAATCAGAAACCTTACGGCCCTTCGGTCCCCTTGTATTTTTTCCATTACTGTTAATGGAAATGGAAATGCCATCTATCGGTCTCACATGATCCTTAATTTTCTCATTATGCAGTGGTTGCTCATTTGTAACCATCTGCCTCCCCATTTCACCCGAAAAACCATCTTTGTTCAGCGTATGAGAATTTTCAGGGTAGTCTCCAGCATTGACAAATTTTACCAGACCTCTGGTCATTTCTTTCAATAATCCAACCTCTTGAGAAGATTCTTGGGCTATACTCTGAAAACCCTCAGGAGCAGCATCTATTAAGTCACTGAATGGAATAGGATCATTCATATTTACAAGCTTTCCTGCCCGAGACACGGCTTCTGCAGCCAGCTCAGCAGCCTTCACAATAGCTTCCATATTTTCAGCTCGCTTTGCAGCAACTGATGCAGCTTCCACTCTCCTTCTAACAGCCTCCTTGGCAGCAACCATGATAGAACTATTGGTTCCATTAGTACCTCTCAACATAGATGCAGGCGTAGCTTTTCCAAATTTATCAATACTGTCAGAAAGCTTAATACTTTGGCAGGGATTGTCATGACCAGATGAGACCAATGTTTCATCAACCATCAGTTTTGCTTGCAATGCAGCATTAGAGGCAACATTGGCAGCAGCTGCCGCGGCCTTTGCAACAGCTGCAGCAGCAGCAACTGCAACAGCTGCAGAAGCTAGTTTGGCTTCAATATCTGACACCAATCCAGAATATTTCTGCTTATCTAACTGATTCCAAATCTCTAGGCTATGACTAACAGCAGCAGAAGAAGAAGCAGCTTCCTCCGCATGAGCTGTAGCTTCCTTAACTTTACCAAGGGATTCATCTGACAGTCCTCTCTTCTCATTCACCTTATCACTTTGGAGGTGATCAGCAGGAGATAGAGTGGACACTGACACGACTGATTTTTCTGTATTTGTTTTGGGAGCATTACCAACAGTAGCAGCGATGCCGATGGAAGTAGATAAATGGCTACTACTAACGGCAGAAGTCAACTCTAATCGAGTTTGTGACTGCAATGCCTTGTGGCTGAGATCCTCAGATATCAGAACCTTCTTTCTTTTTTTGGGCTTTGGATCAGAAGAATGCTGAGGAGGTGATACTGTCACATTTGTACTGTGTAGAGGAGCACTTGCAACAAACATACTCTGTGGACCTCCAGTGGAAGATGGGATACTAGAAATAACATTCTTTATACCAGAGGAAGGAGGCAATGGTGATCCTTTCACAGAACTCAATTTAACTGTACCTGAAACAGGTGATGCTGAAGGATGGGAACTGCTACCAGGTGGAGGGGTTGAAGCAATCCATGGTACGTGAAGGGGGGCCTGGGATATCCAAGATGTATTATGTCCCAGAAAGTTCCTCAGAGGTGAAGTTTGATAAGAATGTAAGGAAGCAAGTGCCTGCGGATAATCCACAACAGAACCTCTTGCAACGACACTGGACTGAAGGGAATCACAAGGAGTCGGTAGAGTCCAAAGGGGTGATGAAAGAGGCATTAAAGGATTTACGATTGTTGGCATAGCATTGCTGCTTGCTAGACCAAGAGGTGAGGAGACGGCATTGCCCTGAAGCGTGCTCTGCTTAACTGCAACATTACCAATTCTCAAAAGTCACTCTTAAAATCAAAAGGAGGGTGGGAGCAGGGACAAAAAGTTATGACAACATACCAGATCGTGACTGCTGAGGTGTTTCTGGGTTAAGTGAATGAGATTTTTGACCAAGCTGTCTTTCTATGCATGCACGCCAGGCTTTCTCCCACGTGTTCCTTCCACCATCTAAAACACAGGTTGAAAGTCAATATTTTCAGTGATGAAGATGTCACTGAAATCACAGACAAGAAACCGCAATAACCCAAAAAAATCAACCTGGACCCCCAAAAGCTGATATCATATATGCCTCATCAGGTGCCATGCCTTGACTGCAGCAATAAAATAACAAGTAATTAACTTAATTAACCACCAGTGTCATATGAAAAAGAAAAAATTTAAAACATCTTTCTTTTGGTAAAACTGGACCAAAAAAACAATCACTATATCATGAAAATCCAAAAATCCAATATCTCCCTCAAGCCTTGAGGTAACACAACAGTGAATAAGCAACAATGAAATAGGCCTTAGGTTTAATATACCAATGAGAACTGAAAGGAGGACAATAAGACAGGCCCAGATTTTCCCATTTTCCATTTAAGTTTAGCTAGAGGGCATTATCAGGTGAGAAAACACATTATTCCTAAAACACCACATATGTGCCCCATAATGACTAAATAACACCAATATTACAAGAGCATTTGAACTCACATCAAAGCTCCATACACAAAGATCTGTGAACGCAATTGTACTTGCTGTAAATCTGTAAAAGATTGTTGACACAGAACAGATAGAGAAGCAGAACTATTCAAATCTGGAAGACCAGATGTTGAGGCATTTAGAAAAGGATAGGGCTTGGCGCTGCTGGAATCAGCATGTCCACGCTGCTGCATCTCACGGGATTGTATTGGCTGGAGATTGGAAGATGGACTCACGGAGACATTACTTGGTTTATCCCCTCTTTCTGGTTGTCTCGCTGGAGTTGTTTCTTTTACACCCCTTTTCCTTGAAGACTCCTTCCTTGGTGTCTTATTATAAGTTCGCCTAGTATTACGCTCAGTTGTACCTTTGGAAGCACTACTGCTGTGGGATATATCTCCTGCAGTTTTAGTTTTTGTAGAGCCTAACACAGATGTTGTAGGAGATACCTCAACCTTCAATAGAAGGGTTAAAAAAAAACAAAAAAACCTCTATAAGATTTCTTGGCTAATCATTCACATTGATTACAATAATCAAAACAACAAAATATATCCTCTACACATTTCATACTATGGTAGCCCCTTGCATATCCAGAGGTTAATTCACTCAGGAAGTAAGCAATAAAGAAAATAAGATTCAGTATCAATATCTTTACACTTCGATTATGAATTTCAACAAGGCTTACTGTTGATGTTTTGCTGGACATAGCGGCAGGAAGTGATTGACTCTTTCCAACATTGTTCCTAGTCAGATTTGTAACATCCGTTTTGGACAAATCTGCCATTGGATTGACCTCAAAAGTCAAAATTTTCTCATTTTCGGATGCATTACTTTCCCTTGTATCAGGAGCAATAGGTGGTACATCTATTGCACTTGCATCCCTATCGATGCCCTCTGAGACTGAGGGATTTTGATCAGTGGATGCCTTAACCTGATCCCCATCCTTTTCAGTTTGAGAAGAATTTCCAATTGTAATAAAGGAACTGCTAGTAATAGGGGCAGGACAGGCAGAAACATCTCCAGTTTGATGTGAAGCAGCATGAGAATCAGGCAAAGGAGCAGAAGGTATGGAAACTTGACTTGCATGCAAAATGTCACCTGCAAAACAGAATATTGTATAAGTCATATAAACATCTGGAAGAACAAGATGAATTAACATGTAAAGCAAAGTGTGGTAATCAGACATCGTCAATTATTAATTAATTAGTACCTCTACAAAATTTAACAATCAAATTACTCACTCAAGAAAATTAAAGATTATATATTTGGTACATTTTAGAAGTACATCAATGCCGAAAGTTGACAACTTTTTTAAGCCCGCTTCAGAACAGGATGACTAATAAACCAATTTTGGGGTAAATGCTTTCTTCCGCTTATAATTTTTTTCCACTTAATTCTTGTACATAGAAAATGAGACTCAATATTTTTACTGCAGATTCAAATGAAATTCAACTGAAAGTTGACAACTTTAACTTTAAATCACCTGAGAGTTTTGAGGATGACTTTTCATGACTCTCCTTGTCAAGTTTATCAAAAGAAACTGCAACTTCATCACCCCGTTTCACTGTTGATCCACATGGAACTGAAGACACATCACTCACACTTGCACACTCCTGAATAACCTTATCAATTTGTGTTCCCTGAAGTTCACTTAATTTTTCAGTACCAGTAGTCCCCTCAACCTCAGGACAATTGTTCACTATTTTGCACATAAGATTTGTAGAAGCATCAGAAGACGCATGGATTTCAGTTCCATTAACAAGGCGAGAGGCTTCCTTTTCAGTAGACCCAACCCCAGTAGATATGGCTACTTCCGTGACTACTTTGGCTGGATCTTGTTTTCCATCAACTGGGGCAGACAAAGCAGATGTATTCTTTTGGACATTATTGTTATCAGTAACTTCATTAATGGAAACAAGATTGCTAGAAGGAGGTGGAGCATCCATTGTCCTACAGGGAACCAAACAAATATCTTCCAACATAACTTTTGAAGCTGAAAAAAATAAAAAAGAAACCTTGGAGTTAGATTTTGTTAATATGTCAAATAAGCATTCTTCTTAAAGATAATTACAAAATACCTGAATCATTGACTGCCATGCTACTGGCCAAAGTTGTGGAAGTTGCCGACTCAGTTTTCCCGCCTCCAATGCTCAAAGATGATGAATCAACTTCCTTGTCAACCAAATGGGATTGGTCGGTATCACAATGCCTTTGACTAGAAACAGTAGGAACCTTTGTACTCATATCCTCATTTACAGAACCAACTTTTTGCAAGCTTTTGTGGTCACCCTGCCCATAAATGTCATAGTTCTCACATGTTTGAGTTGTTTCACTCATACTAAGAGAATTTTCAGAAGAAGCCACCAAGGAAAGATTTGCTACTTTGTTATCACCATTTCCTTCACTCTCACTAATCACATGACCCTCAGACTGACTGACTAAAATATCCTTTTCTGTTGGGTGATCCATGTTCAAAACCACCTTTTCTTTAATGGCATTGCCCCCACTATATGTATTCCTCTCGATGGTAATCACACCCTGGTAATGATTAGAAGAAATCGCATGGTTGGGATTACTGATCTCAACAACTTGTTCCTTTGAACTAGTGTCACCTTTAATTTCAGCCTTAGGTGAGTCACATAGGTTTTGTCCAGATTTAACATCTACCAGTACATCTGCATTTGCATTATTCTTGCCTGAATTTTCAGAAGATACATCTCCACTGCACCTTTCTGTTTTGAGCAAGTCAGCACCTGATACCACCCCATTCATGCCAGTATCAAGGCCCTCAATTGCCTTTACACCTTCCAAAGCTTGTTCTGTAGAGACTGAACAAAGAGGCTTATCTAGAGAATGTGCATCACTCACAGGTGCAAGTCCATTAGAAGTTTGGGTGTCAATGTGAGCATCTCTGTTCCATGTAGAAGATTCCATCTCTTGCTTGTCAAGTTTTGATTGCAAACAACCTTGCTGCACATCACCAATACCAATTACACAATTTTCTAAATTTTGAATGTTCAACACATCACAAGTAGAAGAGTTATTCTTCATAGACACTGCAGAAGCATTAGCCTGCACCCCAGATGCAGATAAATCATGAACTTTGTCATTCGGTGAGTCATCAGCCAAAGCTCCAATTACTTGGTTCACCTCATTACAATTGCCATCAGCATAAAGACTTCCCTCAGAAACAGGCAAATTAGTATTTCCGTACATATCATTACTTTCCAGATTACTGGAACCTCCGATAATGGATGACTCAACTCCATGACCATGGGAAACATCTGCCTGAGACACCTCCCTTCCAACATCCTCCTTCAATCCAGACAAGCTTCCGTGAATAACACCAGGCGGCTGTAAATCTCTAACATTTTTTTCTAATACATTTTTAACATCAGGTTTAGGATTGGGCTTCATTTGCTTAGTTAAGCAAGCCAGTTCATCACAGGCATCAGATTCTTCAGCAACGTGTCTAGGAACAAGTTCCTCCTGCCCAACAGATTTCAATAGCATTTCAACTGATTCTGAGGAAGTAGCCTCAGACCAAACATTGTTATGCCTTGATATAGAGCAAGATTCAGCTGCAGCTGAACCGAACTCTATGCCACTACTCCCCTGAGAGAATGCGTCAATCCACTGGCTATCTTCGTGACTTTCAATGCCAAGGAAAGCTTCAGTTCCAACCAAACTATCAAATCTTAAATGCCCATGAAGGCTCTCATCAAATTCAAATTTAGGTAGAGCATATGGCCTTAGTACTGGAGGAAATTGGGTGCTCCCTTCACCAACTAAATGAAGATTCTGGCTTTCATTGTCATCATAATCCATGGATGTATTCCTAAAATCAATAAGATAAAAGAACAGAAAATATGAGTGCAAACTAGATATAGGGATGAATAGAAACAGACACTGATGCATGAATACAACTTGTACTACAAATAAATCAAAACATATATTGAACTGGTTCCACAAGACATTTACACCAATCCGTGCATAAGCACACAAACTATGAACAAAGAAATTACTAGATGGATAGAAATGTGAAAATTTATATTATAAAGCATACACGTATGTAACGCAGGGCTAGATACAGCAAGTTCACCCAAGTAGGGAGGCAAAACTTTGGTTTAATTCCATCATGGATTAGGAAAGCCTCTGTGAATGACATGGTAGCACTTGGAACCTCTTAGTCACTTCTCTCATTGGCCTTATTCTATGTGGCATGAACGCTCTAAAAAAGGAGCCATTTCCATGCATAACATGATAGGTAGTTGTATTAAGAACAACAATACAAAAGTACCTACTTCAGCCCATTCTATGAAATTTGATTATAGCAGGAAATTTGCTACGATCTTTACATCAGACAGAGGAAAAGTATGAGTTATCAGAGAATCAATCAATTAAAATTAAGTAGAAAGCACAGTAATTCAGCCTTTTGAAACAGAGTTGAGTAAACAATGTTTATAAAGTCACCTTAAAAACAACTCGTATGGTCATATTTATAAAACACTTCTAGCATATTTCACACAAAAAAAAAAAAAACCTTAAACTGTATTAAATCTTTATTAAAATATAATAACTATCCAATTTTATCCCTATTTAATATATACGTCTTTTAAAAAAATAACCATCTATACTGTAATAAATGAAGGATAAAACAATACATCAACGCTAAAATTTTAATAAAATGACTTATAAATAAGACCAAAATTTTTTTCCTATCTTTGCCTTGCAAATAGGACTAGAGAAGTACTTGTTGGACTGAATCATTTGCTAGCAGAGATTTCTTGCACAAGTCATTCTCACACTGAAAGTAAGGGGTGTTTGGAACACCCCATAATCACTTTTCAGAAGCACTTTTTCGTAAATCGAGACAAACTCCTCTACATATTTACTTCGTATACCGTAAAAGCACTTCTAAAATCATGGTTTTGTTCTTACCCAAACACCCCATTATTCAAAGCTACTATAGATATATGGGCGAGGCGGGAGGGGAATGTAGAAGAAAGAATGAAGGAAACTTAAGTCTGTATTATCATCCAAGCCTAGAGAATACATTAAGCTCCCACTCCTTTTTATACACACAGGGGTCATGGTTATATTACTCCTTAATTATCTAACTTCCCTCTGACCAAAAAGGTGTTTGGATAACCCCAAAAGTCCTTCTCAGAAACACTTTTCCACAAATCGAGACAAACTTTTTCACATATTTACTTTGTATACCATAAAAGTACTTTTAAAACCATGATTTTCTTTCTACCCAAACACCCCCTAAGAAACTCTCCTCTAATGTTAAAAATGCATCATCATTTCTTTCCATTCAAGACTACCTTTTGTTGCATTACACAAAATATTATCATGGATGGCTGCTTAAGCTTGGAGAAAGGCCTTATCAGCATCTGCAGCAAAATTGCATTTGTTGCTGAAGGGGAATCTAAATAAATGAGTATATCGCATCATTCTGTTTATTGGCTCAAACAATCTCCATGGGCCTAGCTTGGGTGTCTTTGAAATGTTGATTGACAAGTTGGGTTGATTAGAAGAGAAGCAAACCATTAATTATTTCAAGTGTGCATTGTGCTCCTAACATTTGCATATATCTAATTGCCCATGAGGATGATATTATCATAATTTGGGGATGATCAAAATGGAACTTTATTTAAATAAAACCCACTAAATCACTTTTAGACCATTGAATTGAGAAAGTGAAATTTTTCTACAATTAAGATAGCCTAATCTAATACTGAGATAGTAATCTCAGAGAGAAAGAATTCACTAAATATCCTTCAAGAAACTGGCGTGCTAGGAAGGTGGCATAAGAAAGACAGAAGGAACGTTTGAGCGTTCTTATTATACCTAGAAACTTGTTGGAAAATTGAACTCTTACAATGACTAGACGAAATATCTGCTTTGTTGTAAGTGTAACAAGTCAATTCTTATATCATCGTGCACCAATCCTTGTCATGCAATAATATGCCTTCTCAAATATTAAAAAAGGGCACTGGAGAAAGGCTTACTACATGAGATTATGGACAAACTCAAGCGATTAGGGATGCTAATGCTGGCTGGGAAAAATATCTTTTAGATTGGCTACCTACTATAGGTTATTTCATTTCCAATAGAGGAACGATTGCATCCTAGAAAATCAAGAAACACGATGTTGTGACTAGATCTGATGTTGAAACTGAATATATGTGTGACGAATTCTTCAAGAACTCATATTTGAATATAAAAGAAAAATGACGTTAACTTCTGGTAATTGAGATGCTTTCACTATTATATTCAATATGGCCTTCACGAGAGAAAAGCCCATTTGGGACTGTTCAATAAAAAAAGAAAATGGAAATCTCACTCCAAACTTTGTTTGTTCCAATGACCAATTAGCTGGTATTTCCACTAAAGCATCAAAGGAACCAAGCATTTCTTACTTTTGTAACAAGTTTGTTACAAATAATTTGCATACTCCAACTTGAGAGGGAGTATTGGAATTTAAATAGGCTTCCTAGATAGAGAGTATGTGTTAGCATATGCAGCACATGACAGTCCATATTTTGGTTGGTTACAGTTGCATAATTGGTAGAATACTATTATAGAATTGTAAGTCTTCAATGTCTTGTTCTGTCTTGTATCATTCTCTTATGAATACAAAATCTCATACACGTCAAAATTCACTAACTACATTTTATACAAGGGTTTTCTCTTCTTTCCCCACTTGGACGTTGACTTGGCTGTGCTGCCGCTGAAGTGACCATGCTTCAAAGAACTTATTCAAAAGAGGATGGGATTAATAATACAAAAATCTTTGTTTCTTGTCAAATGAAATAGTAGTTTACACACAAGGGGTTGCACATCAGCCACTTCCTGAGAGATGAGCAACCACATTCCTTCACCAACTAACGACCATGATATATTAATAAATCACACACAGACTGACCACCATGATATGCTAAAGGCATTTCTTGAACTATTATTTTCTGCGCCAATTGGCCAATCCGAATAATTAAAAAGAAATTAACTTTTAAGACAAACGGGCGGTTTCAGAGTCTGCCCAATCAAATATCAAATAGTAAGAAAATAACGATGAAAAATAAAAAGGAACCTTATAGCCCTAAAAGTTGGACACGAACAGTACCAGAACAAGTAAGTCTAGAGACGCTACCTCCCTCCATCCGGCGAGGAAATCCAGCCAGTACAATCTCAACTATCCCCCAATGTTACAGTCATCTACTGCTTCAAAAAATAGTTGCTTGTCAGTGTAATTCTGTGAAGCGCCACACACACATAAAAGAAGCTAAAACGCTCCCGGAAAAAAAAAATCAAATTTTATCAGACAGGCCAGCAGAATCTTACCGGAGGCTAGAAGTTTCGTCGGATCGAATGAGGGTTCCGACGCGGAAAGATGGTCGTCAGAGAAAGCCGAAACAACCCGAAGACACTAAGAGCGGGTGATCATTCTCAGTGAGGTTTTTTTTTTTTTGTTTTGTTTTTTCCCCCCTGGTTTGGTTGTTAGTTTATTTTGTTTTTGCCCGCTAGTCTCACAGGCTGAGGGAAGCGCACTGTGGTACTCGTTTTTCTCCAACCCATCAGAAACAAATGTCTGCGGACGGCGAGTGAGATTGAAAAAGGTCAGCTTGTTTGTAATAGCAGGGGTGATATCCAACGGGTATAAATTAGTCTATACACGTGGGTGGTCCTGATTCGATCACGGAAATTATCTAGAGATTATGGTTAACTACACAATCTTTCCCGTGGCAAGCGGCGTCACATGGACAATGATCGTTGGTTGATAACTTAATATTTTAGTGGAGAAGGGATCAGGTGGATGAAGTAGCTTACTCTTACGGTGGTAATGAAAATGAGATCCGGGCAGGCCGGAATCCGAATGCGCCTGATAAAAAAGTACGGTTATGTATGTTCTGTCAAACGATATATATGACGTAATTATTTTTAAAAAAAACTTCTGAGCATTATTTAGGGGGTGTTTGGGAAACCTAAAACCATGGTTTCAGAAGCACTTTTCCGCAAAACGAGGTAATCTCCTCCACATATTTATTTCGTAATCCGTAAAAACACTTCTGAAACCATGGTTTGGTTTCTATCCAAACACCCCCTTAATTAAACACCCCGCGCGCATACGAGATTACTATTGCTAGTCCGAAAAGAAAATAACATTTTATAAGATTTCATATATTCAAATTTTAATGATATTTTCCATCTAGTCTCCAAAAATGATTTTTTTCTTACGACAAATGAAAATGTATTTCTATTTTGGTTAAAAGAATAAAAATTATATTTTAGTTATATTAAAAAAAAAAGATATATGTTCATTCAAAATTTATATTAAAATAATATTTAAATTTTACTAAAATAATAGTATAGAAAAATTTGCTACAGTTTTTTCTTTTACTGTGGAAACAAAATCTAAAAATTTGAATTCATGTTCATAACCGAGGCAATAATTTTGTCGGAATTCTTAATCATTTGTGTCATCAAACAAGACTTCAAATTCACAACAAGGAAAACAATCATTTGTGTCATCCTGAGTTGACGTCTAAAATCGGGCATAAAATATCATATCGAGTGTAAAATTAAATTATTAACTTCATCATATGTATGCGGTCACAAAATGTTAAAAATAAGGGATAAGAATTAAAATTAAGATTAAAAAAATCTATTAAAAAATATTTATGATGAAATATTCTTATTATATGGGATTGAATGAATCCATATATGTGAGATTAGTGAAAAGTATTGGGAAAGATGATATTTATTAATCTTACTTTCATGAGTTTGTATAATATAATTCCATGTGACAAGTAATTACTTATGTTAAAGACTCTTTTATTGATTTTTCTCAATTGTAATTTGAGTTCTCATATTTTATTTTCAATGTTTCGTGCTAGACAGAACATATTTCTTTTTCAAGAAAAAATAAAGAACATGTCAAAGTATTATTAGCTTATCTCTATATTGTATTTTTTGTGGTCATGTTTCAGTTGCCTTTTTTTTTTTTAAATTTAAAATGCCCACGTGTTTATTTATTCATATTCAGTGTTAGTATGGGAAGATCGATGAAAGAAGAAAGCACAACACACACAGACACGCAATTAATTTTATAAAAACCATCTGATTCATAAACGTCATTTCTTCTGTTTCCATTTACAATTCATCTGTACAAGTTTTTCAGGTTCTTATCTATAACTCATTTTGCAAGACTTTCGAAGCAATCCATATTCCTTTCCAACAGTGTCATTAGTATATATCATTGAGAAATTATTATATATTTAATTAAATATATTTTTGGAGATAGAATAATTTTGAGAACAACAAATAGTTTCAGTTAACTTTTGAGAATTAGTTAATAATAACTTATAAATAGCAATATGCAGGAGCTAACTTATCTTAGACTCCTTGTAGTGCAGGAAAAACTAGAATTAGCAACTATTACCTCCGGTCTTTAATATAAAATCCTGTTTGACTTTTATTTTAGTTATAAATATAAGATCCCAATCCACTTTATCTCTCATCTTTATATATTTTTTTCCAAAGTATCCCTTTTAATAATGATAGTTCTAGTCAATACACTTAATTAGTAAGGATATTTTAGGAAAGACAACACCTATTTAGGACAAGTAACTAACTCAACTTACTTTCTTAATCTCCTCAAATTAGACAATTGGCTTTTATAATTAAGACCGGAGGTAGTAAAATTTAAGGCTTCTAAGTTTCAAATTTAGATTATCATCGCACTGAAAAGTCAACGCACACGATAATAATCTCAGATAGTAAGTGTACATAATCTAAGGTGAGAAAAGATCACATTATGGTAAAATGTACAAGGAATTTCTTTTGTGCACCTTCAGTTAACTCAAAGATAATCTATTCCAGTAATGCACGCAGTTTAGGAGTCACATCCACCATGGCTTGTCTATGAGATCTTTGGAGAACATGTAGCGGAACCTAGAATTGTAAGGTAGCCATTCTATTATCTGTGATGCCTTTTTACTGGATTTACGATCAAGGCGCTTCTGTATTGAATCATGCAGCTTCTTGTCAACGTTTTGCATGATCCATCCAAGGAGATCATCTATGCTCAATGTGGCTTCTCTGCAATATCTTTCTATCAATTTTGGGAGAAAAACCTTTCTTGACTTCTTCACAATTACATTTGCTTGAAGAAACTCTCTCTTGGCAACTTCCAGTTCTTCTCTTATATTGGATGCTGAATAAACTTTTAGCTGCAACATATCATAACAAGATTAATTAACACTCTTGCAAATGTGTGTGTCGAAGACAGGAGAATTATCAACTAGACTTCAATGAGTCTTAAATACCGTATTATTAGCAACACCTTACTTTTTCCAGCGATATTTAGAATGCACTATCATGGAAAAGAATAAAGGAGAAGAATTACCACAGGATCTGACGAGGCTCCAGTACAAAGAGCAAAGCAGACAAGGGGCTGGGAATCACCAAGACCCAATTTTGAGCTGATCAGTTGTCTTTCTTCATTATTTTTCTTCCTCAAGGCAGCAGATACGATGCTTTCAAGCCACTGTTGTTTAGAAAATGACAAATAAATCAACTAGATAAAACAGAAGGTTATTTCCAAGCATCAAAATTAGCTGTCAGAAAATTTTGCTTACAATTTTTTCTTGTAGAAAAAAAAATACTACTACCTAAAATCAGGACAATGGATCTACATTATCATAGAAACTATCTGTGAGCAGAAGATGTCAATCCTATGACCCTCCACGGGCAAGACCAACAAACAACGTAGGAAATTTCATGGTACTCACAACTTCTGGTCCATAATCATATTCCCATATATGATAGAATGCATTTACAAGAGGCACTATATCATATATATATATATATATATATATCAACACACACACAGACACACACTGTATAGTCTCGTTGTCAACATGAGGGTAAGGTCAGTACCCGTCCAATGCGGGGGCTTCTGAAGCAAAATATCGATTGTTCTATGGCATTTGCACTAATGATATGACCTCCAATGTTGTAAGCAGCCTGCACTACAATTTTACCAATTACTTGATATTGTGTCACAAGAAAAGGTACAATATCACAAGAAGAAAATACTGCCAATGAAAGAAATGAAAGTGCTAAACATGAACAATATCATGTAAAAATTTGTAGCATAAAGCTAACAGCTAATCGGAAAAATGGTGCCAAAGAGAAGAGTTCGTTCTTTTGCTTTTCCCTCTTTTCTGAAGAGATTGGGAGGTTACAAAGGTGTCCAAATTTTTTTCTCTTGGCTGCAAGGGTGGCGATTTCTTAGTAATTTGGAGGGACCAGCGAGGTGAGTTCTACTGACAAAAGAAAATTGAAGGAAATGAGAGATAAATGAGTTATATGGTTACAGAGGCAAAAGAATTCCTGATACAGGCATCACAATAATTAAACATTGGCTTGTGGAGAGGACTTTGGGGGAAGTTAAGCCCTGCCAGCTGTTCTCTAGATCCAACATTATTTCCTAGAAATTCATAAACTTTGGAAATTCTTTAGAAATATAAAAATTGAATAAAAATGTAAACTACCTTGTGAAACAAGGCTAACCTCCTCAGAGAGCCCTGAGGAATTCCATATGCTAAATATGCCTGTCAATGGCAGAAGAAGAGTTACACGTGGTGCAAATAAGTAAGACAAACATAATCTCTGGTCATATGACTATTACATGCATCACAAGAGCATTATGCACGTTGATCCAGAATGCAATTTGGGTGTCACGTTCCATTTGACTGACATTCACCTTTTCCAGCTGTTCAACTAGAACCCTGAAAGGCAGAGAGATAATATCGTGTCAAGCTACAAATTCAATTAAGTCCAGTGCAATCTTAAACAGAACTTAATGAGTATGCATATAAGTAAATCTGGAACACCATGCTCTCCACTACGCCTACAATAAGAAGAGCGAAATCAAACAGTATGAAGCAAGTAAGAACAAGAGTATGCATAAAATGCATACAAATACCCAAAAACAAGGTCCGTTTTGCATCCCAGTCAGGTAATTGTCTTCAAACTATATCATTACTTTGGTGTCCATTGCATCGTCATTTATATTTTATACTACTGTAAAATGAGGGAAGATGGAGATGTTTATTTTATTATCTGACATTAAATGTGCATTTATATTTTGAGATAGTTGTGCGCATTCCAGTAATGAAATCCCCATATTCTGAGAATGAATCATTCATACTCCTCTTTCTCAATAAAATTTTAAATGAGAAGAGGGCCCAGGGGGTTCAGCATGTGCATGTCAAGACCCTTTTCCCAATCTTGTCGGGGAAGGAGAAACAAGGAAACCTCAGAATCTGAGGCCTTACAGTAGGCTCATTTACTTTCTCCATTTGAAAGAACAAAAACCATACTAAACCAAACTAATGATCATTCCTCTAAACCTGTAGAATTAGGCTGACAAGCCCTATTTAAACAGAATTATACTAAAACAGGCATATTAAAATAAACTTAAGATGTCTATAAAACAACAACAATGACAACAACAACAAGTCCTATCCCATTAGATGGAGTCGGCTATATAGATCACACGACGCCCTAAACCCTAAACGAAAGAAGTATAAAACAATAAAATAAATCCAAAGAAGTATATAGAATTATAATTTAATCGAAAATTACTCATGACTGCCAATTGAATCCTAGTTGTAGAATTTTTAGATTTCAAGATATCAAAATAATTTGAATTTGAATCGAATGTTCATCACCGCCTTGAAGTTCCTAATAGATGTACCTTGATAATTTAACTTCGACTTATATACAAATATACATTTCAAACATCTTCCTTGAAATTATGATACTCAAAGAATTAACCTGTAGTTATTGATGGCATATGAAGCATGAGATGAATGACGTTTATGAGTAGATATCCAAGATATTTCAACTGCTGATTTGCATGACCAGTCTCGATCCTCTTGAGTACCATGTCGTGGCTGTATAGCATTAGTTGATGACTTCGACAATAATGGTGATCTATTATTTTCAGCATTTACAGTGGTTGCACTACGTAGCCAACAATACACTGTGGCCATGCACCTGACCATCTCCTCTGACAACTTGCTGGGACACTGGTATAGATGGTCTTTGAGAGTTCGCAACACTGGAGTTTTATCCACCGTAGAAAACTTTTCGTGAACCTGACATATAATTGAGAAACGAATCTTAAGATAAATAGTGCATTATTAAGATAAGTGTAAGCAGATAAACAGATGCAGATTTCTGTAGTAGTGACTTATCCACCGTAGAAAACTTTTCATGAACCTGACATATAATTGAGAAACGAATCTTAAGATAAATAGTGCATTATTAAGATAAGTGTAAGCAGATAAACAGATGCAGATTTCTGTAGTAGTGACTTTTACATGCTGAAAATTTTATTATCAAGGAATGATTACTTTGACAAAGGCTTCATGTTTCAGCAAAGAAAATTCATTGCAAAGTTAAGGGAATGATAATTTCAATAATGGCCAGTCCTTCTTACTTTAGGTGAAATCATATTACTCAGGTGCTGGTTAGTCCTATCACATCTACATGATATATGGAAATTGACATCACATGCTCTATATCTGGGCCAAATGCTATCCATTCATAGAAAAATCAAAACAAACAAGAATTGCATATATAGAAATATTTAAAGAACAACAATCATTCTCTACCTTAGTGGAATCAGAACAAGTCTTTTTAAAATAAATGTTATCTTTGCCACTTGATAAGGAACCATTTGTTGAGCCAAATATTCTATTTTTTGGGTCATTGGTAGATATCAAAGCTTGCAGTGGTCGCAGAGGGAACTTTTTTGAGGAACAGAATGCACTTGAAATTATACTTGGATGCTTCCTGGGTTCGTGCTTTATATGAGCAGGTGAAGCCACACCAGAATTTTGTTCAGAAGATGATCGACTGACACAATTTTCAAAAATATTCCTGTACAGAGTAAGCACATGCTGCTCACGGCTAGTAACCTCTTCTTCAAGTAACTCAATTTCAGCGATCAAATCTTTCGTCTAAGAGAAGGCAAAACAGAAGAGTTATTTTCCACAAAGCAGACATTTACGGCTGTTGCTTACATTCTGAAGAAAAGAAACATAGATAACAAAATCTTGAGTCATGTTGAAAGGTGATTGTAAATCAAGGTAATAGACATCACACTCACAACGCCGTATCATACATTCCAATAGAAATCTAGTATCTGACTACCAAGTGAACAATCCTGCCCTCTATCACAAAAATAGGTTTTTTTTTTTTTTTTCGCATGCAAATCAGTGGCTCAGAACCGAATACTTACATCTTCGAACATCTTCAATGTTAGGTCAACTTTATGATACATGACACCTTAGTAAGTGATTCCGTGTTATAAGAAGTCTGTCGTGAGACTATTATGAAACGTACAGAAGAACATGAAATAGTTAAGCTTATGTAATCTTCAGGACATCCTTCATTTTAAAATAAAGAATATTATCAGCAGGTGATCATTCCTCACATATAAAGTTATAGAATCAATGGCTGAACATGTTGCAGTAGTTGTCAAGCTCATGCACTGAAGCAACTGGATGGGAAGAACCTATAGGATGAATATAAAATAGCTATTTATTGCAGAGTGTGAACGTTTAGTTACCTGTGCAGCAAAGTGCCTATGTCCAGGAGATAAAGTACTAGAGGCTCGGCCCATTGCTCTCTCAAGCACAGTGCGCATAGATTTCTCCTGCTGCAGGCGTGACTGCAGTTGCTCAACCTGCAAATCAATTAGTGATTCAAGGCATAAATAAATGTGGCAATAAATACTATGCAGCTGTAAATCAGTAAATGATTCGACGCATAAATAAATACGCAATAGCCAAAAATCATGACGCAAACAGAAACCTTCACCACCTATAATTGTTTGTTTAGCAGTTAAAGCCCTACGGGGGCGGTATTATTTCCTCCCCTCCCCCCCCCCCCAAACAAAAAAACAAAAGAAAAGAAAAACAAATTCTTTTGGAAGATATTGAAAAACGATTTCTAAGTTTGGCTTATTCGGATATAATTTCAATTGACAATTTCATTCTCATTATAATTTCATAATTTCATCTCAGCAAGTGGAAAGTTACTGAGTTTTTCACAAGGTATGTTAAAAGCAAATATTCCAGAGATAAGAATAAGACCCAAGTTGCATCTGAATACAATGCTTACATCTTTCTCCAAGGAAGCTCTGTGGTTTGACAAAGCATTCTTGTTGCTATAAGATAGACAATCATGCAAAGGACTTTGTAATCTTAAAGCGCTGACAGAAGATGGTGATAACTGTTCAAGTCACAGGGAAATTAGTGAAGTATAAATTGGTCACATTGGAAATTAAATTTGCGGTGCAAGCATGCATCGGATCATTGCTTTTCTCAAGGACTTATAACATATGATTATAACGTGAAAGACCAATTTCAATTTTGTAATCTCACAAGATACTCATTGTTGTCTTTCCCTTTGGCATGCAAGACTCCACCTCTTGAGATTTTCTGGTTCCTGTCAGAAGCACTAGAAGAGAAAGAAAACAGAAAACGTACAATGTCATGGGAAAAAAATCAACTGGATATGGTAACTGCATTATATCTAAAAGAGCAAGATGTTGGCAAAAAACAATAACAGTAAAAAGCAAGGTCAACAGAATAATCCCCGCCCTATCCCAAAAACACACACACACACAAAAATAAAGAAAATAATTAATCTGGCAACACACGCGCGACCTAGTTTCCTAATGGTGAGACAACCTGCACAGGAAATCTCTGGGTGGAACGGAAACTGAAAAGTTGAACCATTGATAAGAACAACCTCATGCTCCGAACGAATTCGTCACACTTGCTAGTTGCCTCCACAAAATAAGTTCACTTTATATGTAGTTACAGAACTCTTATTCCTATTACTTCCCAATCAGAAAGTTCCAGAGACCTCCAAAGTTTTTGCCAATTCAACCTTCATTATTCATTTTCCATATTAACAGATAAATACCACCCCAATAAGCTGAAGCTTTTCGAAGAGTTTCTGGCATTGAAAAGAAAGCAGAGTTTAACATATTCACTAAAAAAAGCCACACTAATAAAAGAAATGCCACAGATAAAATTCGTTGTAAGACTACCTCATAACACAGATTGAAAAAGGGAAAGAAGTTGAAAGAACAGCCAAAACCAGCCATAATACAGTTTGTGAAGTGCAGACCTCTTAGATCGCCGATGTCGAGTTTGGACAGGTTGCCGCGCCCGAGAATCTCCTTTCTCTCCATACCCGCCTGCTTCTGCCTGGCCTTTTTCAGCTACATGGAACTCACCCATTATTATTTCTTAATTATTCCAGAAAGAGCTCACATTCTTCTTCTACAAAGACTAGTGTATTCAATATAGATATAACTGAACCCAATTTGAACATGACACACACGGGATCCGCAGAGTATTAGCATCTATCTATCGTGAAGTGGAAAGAGGAATAAGCAGGCTTTAACAAGAAGAATCGAATTGATCATTGTAGGAAGAAAAATGAAAGAGGAAAAAAAATGGAATAATATTGCAAGAGAAGAATGTGAAGTAAATGGCAGTAGTTACCAAAGGACTACGACAACCGAGCAGGAAAGCTGGTCTGCCCGCAATTCAATACGATCACTTTGGGTTGTTGAGAGCATTCAATGTTTTGAATTAATTCATCTGCGAATCAGCCCCCACTCTGAGTCCCTTTCTCACTCTCACTCTCACCCTCACACGCACAACATAGAGTGTACGTTGAAATTTGAGTTCGAAACGAAGAGGTTCACCTCCGGCCGATCCTGTTTCATTCACCCGCCAAACTTGCGAGTTTTCATTTGTCCGTGCAAAAATACAAATTAATTCATCAGAATATCAACGTACTCCTCGGTCCTTAATATAAATCTAATTCTTGAGTTGGTTTTGGTCCTAAATATAAGACCCATTTCTCATATTTATCATTTTTCTCTAAATTATCCCTATGGATACTCCCTCAACCATAATCAAGTAGAAGAGAGAGGGAGGGTATTAAAAAAGGTGATTATGGTATTTTAGAAAAAATGTGTCACTTTTTTTATAATTAACTAACTTACCTAACTTTCTTAATCTAATCAAATTATTTAAATGGGTCTTATATTAAGGATTGTAGGAGTATTATTATTTACTCATATTAAAAAAAACTTTAAACTGCGTTAACCTTTCGTTAAAATATAACAAATTTCAATTTTATTTTTATTTAATATATAAATTTTTTTAAAAAAATAATTATTTATTCTATAATAAATGAAAGACAATATAGTATGTTTATAGTAAAAATTTAATAAAATAACTTATAAATAAAAAAAAAAAGACTTTTTCTCTCTACTCTATAAATAGGACCAGAGAGTATATATCAATATATCATCATTGTCAATATGGTATATAATCATAGGAATATAACAAATTACACTATAATAGCCCAAGTTGACTCAAATTCCATACAACAAAAAATGTGGATGATAAGTTGAGCGTGGTCCTCTCCTTCTACATAACGTAGCATTAATGGGACCTTGATTATTGCTTCTTGGAAAATCATTTTCCTTCAAAACAGTACATTATGCGTAGATGTACGGCATTTTCCTAACATTATTGGGGAAGATCCCTTTTTTTCGTGTCAAGGTGTTAAATATTGTACAGAAAAGTAACAGATTACTGTCTAGTGCCTCCAGTTTTAACCTCTCTTCAAGGCGAAACTTCTTTTAGAAAAGCCTGCGAATGAAATCGCTTTTCGTCTTTCAAAATCCAGCTTGAATGCCTTGAACGTACAAGCTTCGCTTTGCTTCATTCATGAAAACTCTCAACACGCACCGAAATTGTTTTCCATTTTAAACAGTACACCAAAAATTCGAGTATATCCAGGTGTCTCTCCCCAGACCAGAGGCTCTATTGATTTGTTAATATCTCGTAAGCCATGATCAACTACTAGCTTGCTTGAATTTCTTAAATGTTCTTAGTCATAATTCCATGTTGCACGTTGCAATCAAACTGAAATGGATATCGTGTTGAAATTTTAGGCCCTGACTAGACAGACATGAAATTAGAAAACCGCGTTTGGTAGGATTAGAAATGGAAAAAGATAGAGTATGTTTCCATTTGGTATACGTTCCTAACCATTTAACTGAAATTGACAATTCAGTACTGATTTTCACCGCTTCACCTGATTAATTTTGCTGTCACTTGCAGATTCCATCACATCTAGCAACTATTGACATTTCTGCCCAGTTTTCCTGATTGAATCTCCACAACCGCAAAGCTGCAATTTGAAATTATTCTCATCATTTAAGGCAGGTTGAATAGTGGGACACTCAAAATGGAATATTGCGAGTCAGAAATTGAACTCAACTGCGTCATGAATTTCGAGTAATAATGCTCGCATTGTGAAATTGAAGGCCCAGAATTAATCTCTGGTGAAGAACGATTCCATTTAAGAATTTTGTGAATATATCAGTAAAGTTAGGTTGAAGCAATTAAGGAAGCATGTGCGCGACCATAGTCTGGTCAATGGTTAATTACCCAAAACAAGATTTTTGACCAAGAAGTTCGTTTAAAGAAATTAAAAGCAACCTCGATCTAGCACAATAATTCGCCCTATGTGTTTACCTCAGTTCAAGCTTCATCTAGGTCCATTCATTGTTGTTATTTTCGTCCCATTATCTCATCCCAGAAACATGGTATGGACTCTGATCGGATGATGAGAGTAACCAAATTATGGTATCAACAAATTGAAATCTGATTAAATTAAATTACCCTTGTATGCCGATATTATCAGAATTTGACAGTGACAATTTGAGTCGACTTAATTTCTCTCTAGTCCATGGGAAATTTTTAGCATGATCAATACCTCAACTTCTTATTAATTTCCAGCGTTTAGAGTCTCTCCAAATGGATACCTGGTAACAAAGTAGTAAAAGTTTCAGAGGCCCTAATTCTCATTAGAAATGGAAGGAATATTCCTGTTGTTAGGCTCATTAACGGGTCAACTCAAAGATCGATGTACGACGATGATCCCCATTTGTTCTTGCTCTCGAGTATATATAGGTCGTCACTTGGAGGGGAAAATTCTAAAAAATCTCAATTTGTCCTACCTTTCACTTACAATATTTTTTGCCAAACGGAAAAATGGTTCGTTTACTCTTCTTTTCCTTCTCGTGTCAGGTAAAAACAATCAAGCTCTCACAAGATAAATAGGAGCACGTTATTAGTTGACATATCTATAATTGAAGGTCAATGCTCTGTTTTTCGTATGATTACGTATATATTGACAGTGACGGGGTTAAATGTAAATGCTCATTACTAAAGCATATATGAAGAGCAGGGTATATACGTTACGCTTCTGCAGATTTATAGTCAATGGGATGATGACAACACTAAGGTAGCGGAAAAACAATAAGTACTACCTCTGATTTTTAATATAAAATCTTGTTTGACTTTTATTTTGGTCCTAAGACTCTAATCTATTTTATCTTTCATATTTATGCATTTTTTAGGGTAGCCCTTAAAATAGTGTTAGTTTTAGCCAATACATTTGATTAGTAAGGATATTTTAGGAAAGACAAAATCTATTTATTACAAATAACTAACTTGACTTATTTTCTTAATTTCCTCAAATTAGTCAACTAACTCTTATATTTAGAACCGAAGATAGTATCACATAATTTGGTCTCAAAACCTCATTATTATTAAAACTGTTTTTTATAAAACCAGCATGATTTACTATAATATGCATAGAAAATTCACCAGATAAAGCATTCTTGGATCATCACTGTAGAAGCTTCTGCTCCAGAAAATATTTCTTTCACTTAGTGGTGAAATAAAGGACAAAGTAGCATCACTTGATCTGTTCCACTATGAACCGTCCAACCATTCGGGTAACTCGTTTCAAACAATCCTGGAACTAAACAATTCCTATGGAACGGGACTTTGAGCCTAACCAGCCTGTATTCTAATATGGCTCTATTTGATAATTCATGTGGCCACAATTGAAGGACAAGTATTAGGTAAAGAATATATACGATAGAGAAGATGAAAAGAGACTTGTTCTTCATTGATCTTTGTCATAGAGTGGAATTATAATAATTCATAACCTTAGTTATTGCCATCATCGTTATCATGATGATTAAATTTAAGTTTTCTGTTGGTCCGGGAAAGTGATGTCTGACATTTACTATGTTTTCTCCAAAGTCGATGAAGTTTACTTTGACAATGTTCTGCTCGAACATGCTTATCCACCCAGTATTTTATGAGTTTCTTGTTCGTTTTTAAAATCCTCACTGTGAGATCATGATGAATATTAAAATATCAAAACTGATCCCTAAAGCTTGTAGATACAAGCAACAAGGAGAAGGAGGATCGTGGTTCTGGTCGACTTCAATCATCCGTCATCCAACCACTCATGTGGCCCCTGATCGGTGCCAGCCAAGCCGGCCATGACGCTTTATACTTATATGTGTGTGTATATATATAAAGTTTGGCATAGTTTTCCGCTAAGCCACACTAATAGGTTCAGAACATTATTAGACAGCCAAGAGGCTCCATTGCTTCACGGGATTGAAAATGGTGAAGATAGAATTTGGTAGCTTTCCCGACTCTTTTAGCGTTAATTCCATTAAGGCTTATATAGCAGAGTTCATCGCTACTCTTCTTTTCGTCTTTGCTGGCGTTGGATCAGCCATCGCTTACGGTAAGTGCTCCGGTGTAGCTGATCTATCACTCACTGAACTTCGCTCGTGAGTGTGTATATTAGATTTAAGCACTCGGCAGTAAAGGGTAATGTTGGAATTGGTGTGTGTATATAGGTGAACTTACGGAGGATGCAGCGTTGGATGCGCCGGGACTGGTGGCGGTGGCGGTGGCCCATGCGTTCGGCTTGTTTGTAGGAGTAGCGGTGGCAGCCAACATCTCAGGCGGGCATTTGAACCCAGCGGTTACTCTTGGATTGGCAATTGGAGGCAACATCACCATCTTAACTGGCATCTTGTACTGGATTTTCCAATTGCTTGGCTCCATCGTCGCATGTCTCCTCCTCAAATTTGTTACTGGTGGAAAGGTATTTATAACTAAGCGCTATTCCAAAAACACATATTATCTGACTCGGATGAGTGTGTTTTTTTTTCATATATTACTATATATTTACTTCGTATACATATTTAGTAAAATTACCTTTAAAAAATTAATCCAACCAGTCTTTTCAACACCTTGAACGATCAACTACAATAGTCGAAAAAATGTGCTTATCTTTTTTCATTTCATATATGCAAGTGAAACACACATATGCACGAACATGGCAACATCCTCGTCATGTTTAAATTTGAAACCTTATCTGAATATGTATGACAAGAAATGCTGTCGCCAGAACAACTTATCATTTTACATAAACTAACACGAGCTCTGGATCTGTTTGGCAGAGCATTCCAACTCATGGACTAGCAGCAGGTGTGGGTGCAGGAGAAGGTGTAGTGTTTGAGATTATTG